AAAACCTGTTGTAATACGCAGGGGAACTGCAGAGATCTTCACCACAGAAAATGTCTTTTATATAAGTGTAATGGCCCCCCGCTTTTGTATGGCCTTACTGTGTATGTTCTGAAATAGGTAAAATTACTTTATTCATAGCGGCTTTGAGAATGGGCTCTTCAGTACAAATAGAGCGCTGCTGTCAATTTCAGTTTTTAAGTGAGCATTATTACGGTATTACATATTTACCATACTATTGTGAATTGGCTTAGTGGAAAAGGTCAAATATCACGTGCACTGATTATAATAACAGTAGCCTGTGCTGTGTAGTGTATGCCCTGTGAAACAAAAGCTTGGGGGAGGAGAATGTGTGTCAGGGCAGGGCTGGCAGAGTGTGTGTGTGTGTGTGTGTGTGTGTGTGTGTGTGTGTGTGTGTGTGTGCACCCCCCACACTGAATGCGGCAATGTATTGGCTCTCCTCGATTCGTGTCAGCAGGGCTGTGTGAAAGGCACTGGATTACGTACACTAGGGGCCAATGGGTCAGTGGATAAGAAGTCTTCTCTGTTACCACAAATCCACAGATTAAACACAGTGTCGAGAGCCACTGCTACCCCCAGGGTAAATGGGTCTGAAAACACAACTCAGAGAGCTTTGCCGCAACCCTCCTGTCACCGTTTAGCCACGAGGCAACGTACGAGTCTTCTCTTTAAGTCCCTCTGCGTAAGCCTGCCCTTTAAATACATCCGGGTCGAAGTTAATCCTACACCGGGATATACGACTAGTTAAAACACACTGTCATGCACAAGTCAACAAACACTGAAGTCGAGCAGCTAGTGAATGTACAAAGCAATGCATCCTCCATCTTTTGCTAAGCAGAAGTGCCTTACTGCCCCGGGCAAACGGCATACATTAGCATTGTGTGCCACTGTTTTACATCACTGCCGCCTTCTCTTGATGCTGTTTAAGTACTTTAAACTGGCTCTGTGCCACACACACAGGCCAGGGGATGTTTACAGTATCAGAGCATGTTTGGATGATATTGTTTGTTACAGATTAGCAGTGATGTTCAGTGAGCCCTCTTTGCTGTGCCTGCATGTTTCTGTATAGCAGCAGTGATGGGGAGAGAGGTCTGTATGTGATAGTGGCAGCATGGCTGTTGGTGACGGGCTCTTGTAGCGTCTCGTCTGCTCCAGTGATCCTAGGGAATCTGGGTCATTTCCAGCCTGTTCACATGTAACTATTCCCCACTCCTTCCCTCCCTCTCCCCAGGGCCAGCCACAGCCCCGCTACATGCTAATGATGACACAAAGTAAACGCACTCGTCTCCTATCATAAATAGTGAAGCGACTGAGCGGTGTTCTGCAGCAGGGTGCACCACACCTCTCTGCTGCTGTATCAATGCTCTCTTCACCTTGTAGTTGTCCTCGTGTTGCTGTTTGTCACTGAGCTTTAGAAAGAAACGTGTATCAAGCCTTTTCTCTTTGGCAATTATCTTCCGCTGTTGGATGCAGTTAATGATCTGTATCAGTTGGCATAACAGCCACAGCAGCCTTCAATATTCCTGATAGTATTATAGCTACTGTCATTAAGTTGATTTACCTTGGTACATAATGATAAACATGGAATTTATATTATTTAACTCTAACTTGAAAGCTCATTAATGTTTTGAACTTTAAGTTTGATACTGTTCAGCTGTTGAGTAAACACTACCTTGCTATAGCACCATTTTAATTATGTTCTGGGCTTTCAGTCTTATCCCGTAGGGCTGGGCATTATGATAACATCAAATAACTCTATCAATACTGCAATGTTCTGGTAGTGTTGACTTTTGCAAAAACATTCAAACAATGGGATCATCATAGATGATCATAATTATTTTGGATTTAATGACTAAGTGGGTAAATGCAAATGATAGAACAGCTGTACAGTCTTAGTCCGGAAAATTAGTCTGCCTTTAACCCAGGAAAAGACAACACTTATACAACACTCATGCATTATTGTGAAACAATTCTAAGATGACATCTTGTCCCCGTTTATCAATATAATATTGGTATATTGCCGAAAATACCATGATCTCTACAATGGATGTAACCAGTGCATATGTTATTGAATATTTCAAATCCTCTGGCCATTTAAAAAAACCTTGTAGTTAATATTTTGATTTTAAAGGATGAAACCATCTTGTATCTCACATCTACAGAGGCCCGAGGGTTTACTAAATACCAGTAAAGCCACTTTAGACATATGCATTTACCCAGGAACAATTACTGACATGTTTTGCAGCTCTTTCGAACTAGATAATTGTAAAATACCTTTCTAGTCAGTGGCTTGTATTTCCTTGTGTTCATAATATTTTGTCCACCCCCTCTCAAGTTTTGAATCTCCACAACAATCCTCCACGGATTTTGGATGTGGTTAAAACTGTATGTAAAGTAGAGAATCTTTAAAAAACAGACAGCAGAAATAAAAAATGAACAGAGGACTGGCTGCGGGGATGCCATAATGCCAAATAGACAAAGGAGAAAAAAATAGTAGATGTATTTGAATGAGATCCACTGTGTGGGGAGATATTGGTGTCAGGAGGCCTATATCTGCTCACACAGTGACATAGGCCTGGATGCTAGAGGAAGTAGCCTATAGTCTGCCACTTCAGTCTGATTTAAAGATGGCAAAAATATAAAAAATGTACTGGAAGGTTAAATCATATGGGGAAACATGTAATGAATAAAAATTAGGCTGACACGTGAGCAATTAAAAAACAACTAAGTGAATCAAAAGGGAATATTTGTGGTGTTTTGCTTGATATTAACTGTTTATTAGCGCAGTGATGCCAAAACGAGATTTCACACTGAGGGAAAAAAAAAATCGTGTCCTTTTTCACCCTTTCCATTAATGTTTTAACAGTGCCTATAAGCTAGACGTGTTGCTTACAGAGCGTAGTCTACAATTGTTATTTCCAGCCCTCCGTTTAAGAGATCCAAAACTCGCCCATATTTTATTGATGTGCACTTCCTAGAGAAAGTATTGCAGTCCTTGTAAATTTGGCTTGGGACGTGCTGCCTGCATGGATGAAATATTTACAGGCGGCTAAATATTTCAGAGCAGCACCTTGTCAGTCGCCCTCGGAGTTTACTTCCACTGCTGCATCTGATGGAGGCCTATCCTTTATTTACCAATATTTACTGGTTGGTGTAATAATATGGGTGAATGAATGGCATACATGCGTCTTAATCTGTTTATAGGGTCTCTTTTATCCAATATAAAATGTTAATTTCCTAATTATGATGCAGACTATAGGTGTCAAATCAGACCTATTTCTGAGAGACATCAACATGAACATTATTATTAAATTCTTAAATATAAAGATTGTATTTTTTGTTATTGTCATAATGATGCTGTAAACCAGCTAGAGAATGAACAGCTTCCTGTGCAGAAGGCATTTCATAACCCCGCATCAAGAGTCTATAATTCATGCAAAAAAAGCCCGAAGGGGATTCGGCTCGAGTGCGTGAGTGCGTGCGTGAGCGTGCATGGAAGAGAGAGACAGCGAGGGAAGAGAGAGAGTGAGTCTGTATCCTGTGTGTGCGGGAGGGGGCGATCTGTGAAAATAATATCAGGCTTTTCCGTCAGAATGAACTTTACTACTGTATCCAGCCATGAAATAATCTGACCCGACACTTCAAACCATCTGCGCTATCTATCCGCCCTCTTATTTACCAAATCAGCCTGTGCACAAAACGGAGTGTGTCTGATACTAAAGCCGAGTAGCCTGGCAGGGCCATGATAATCCTATATAAACAAGTATCACGTTTATTCCCTGCTATGTTTCACTTCACAGAAGCAGCCTCCCTGTGCATGCTGTCGAGCTGCAGTCTGCTGCGATCACACACACACACACATATGCCAGTACAACAAAAAACTCAAATTAGCCTGTGTTTTCAAAAAGAGCATTTATTCACGCCCCAATTAAAAGAGCATGCATAATCATAACCGTAATATGATTGATTATGCTTTATAAATGTGCACTTTTGTCAGGTTCAATAATGCAGGAAGCCTCGACTAACTCTGGTCAAGGTTGCAAATCTGAGTTTGCTACAAATTCAGAGTCCTGTTGAAATAAAGCCCATATCGACCTCTTTTTTTATATGTTTTAACAATTCATCATCGATAAAAGCCTTGAGGGTGTAAACGAGTATTAAACATTGCCAATTATAATCTTAAAAAAAGACAATAATTCTAGCTAGGCCTACCTAAACCAGCTAGCGTGAGCTTATGATATAGGCTATTATTAGATAGCCTAATAGGAGAGTTCAAATAAAACCAGAAATGTAAAAGGCCATACTTAACACTGTATAATTATCATCTGTGTGTTATTGTCTTACATTTAATAGCCTGTGAGTTTTAGGGTAGGACAGCCTATAGTCAGCCGGGATGTCTTTTTGCTGTAAAGCCCGTTTCAAGAGCTCTGAAGGGAGACTGAGCTGAGCGTGTTTGCCTGCTTTGCCACTTGACTATATAGACTGAAGAGTCTTTCTTTAACACAAAGGCAGAGGGTGTTTGGAAAGCACGGCGGGGCAGCTAAACGTTTGAAGACGCAAAGCAAAAGGTCAAAATGTTTATATTATTTTTGAAAAGGGAGGTGCTGAGATCTCCTTTCCGCCTGATTGGCCGAACTTGACAGTGATTGACGTGCATCCATGGCAACCGGGCAGCCAATCTGCCAAGTCCAATAGGAAATCATCGGAGGGGGCTTGACTGTCTTTTTCTCCCCTCTTAAAAAAATACATCTCCGCTCCGGCTTTAATTCTTTCGTACTTTCAATCCCAGACTACCTTGAAAAATACACCGCGGCTCCGGCTCTAATTCGCTCGCACCTTCAGCTCTTTGCCTGCCAAGATTGCCGAGCGGAGGATGCGGTAGCTGGCCCCCACGCAGCGTCGGTCCTCCTCCCCTGGTGTCTGCGTGTTTCACGGCTGCTCACACGGTTGGTTTGGTAACTGGGATTGCCTCGTTTTTTCAGACCGCATCGGCGCACGGAAGGCAGAAGCAGGAGGACTCGACGCGGAGGAGACGGGGAGAGAAAGGAGGGGGAGAGGGAAGCACCGGAGAAAAAGCCTCCATGTTTCAGCTGCCCATCTTGAATTTCAGCCCCCAGCAGGTCGCCGGGGTCTGCGAGACTCTGGAGGAGAGCGGGGACGTGGAGCGCCTCGGCCGCTTCCTCTGGTCTCTGCCCGTGGCGCCGGCGGCCTGCGAGGTCCTCAACAAGAACGAGTCGGTGCTGAGGGCCCGGGCCGTCGTCGCCTTTCACACGGGCAATTACCGTGAACTGTACCACATCCTGGAGAACCACAAGTTCACCAAAGAGTCGCACACGAAGCTGCAGGCGCTGTGGCTGGAGGCGCACTACCAGGAGGCGGAGAAGCTGCGGGGACGCCCGCTCGGGCCGGTGGACAAATACCGGGTTCGGAAGAAGTTCCCCCTTCCCAGAACCATATGGGATGGAGAGCAGAAAACCCACTGCTTCAAGGAGAGGACCCGGCACTTGTTAAGAGAATGGTATTTGCAGGATCCCTACCCGAACCCCAGTAAAAAGAGGGAGCTTGCACAGGCTACAGGACTTACACCCACACAAGTAGGAAACTGGTTCAAAAACCGCAGACAAAGAGACAGAGCAGCGGCTGCGAAGAACAGGTGAGCTACACCAATATAATTTGAGGTTTTAGGATCATAATAACTCCAGCAGAAAACAAAAATATTAGGAAAATAGCAGCATGAGTCGTCTTCCAGTTCAATGTAGCAAAGCAGGCCGTGACCCTCGCTAATTGAGCAATTCAGAACAGATATGTTTCGGATAGATTGAACATCGTCATTTAATCCTAAAACCAGGGGGATTTTCTTTTGTAACATACCACAGATTTGAAGTGTATATGATGCCAGCGGTGGGGACAAATACAAACATTGTGTGTGTAATTTTAGATTACTGAGAGAACAAAGCTCTGGATAAATGGTTCTACTTTTAAGATTAAGAAAAAATTGCAAAACCACATTTTGTATTGCAATACAACAACATGAATTGTATACATTCACGTGTTTTATTCTTACATTTCAATGTAGTAGTAGTAGTAGTAAACTAGTATTTGCTATAATGTAGTTAAATAGATAATGTTGTGTAACTTCCAATTACAATCGTAGCCAATCTGTTTAAAGGCCTATTTCAGGGAGGTCACTGCTGTTTTCCATTTTTAGTACAGCTAAAACAGCCCATTATTGTTTAGTGAGAGGTATAATCTGTGAGCTACATTAATTAGTGACATATTTGTGAAATGATACAGCTCATGTAATTATCCTGCTTTAACCCATAAGAAGGTTCTGCAAATAACTAATCTTGCTATATTTCTGTAAAATATAATCTACCATTACACTGTTATTGGTTTTTATAAGGAATGTTTTCAACCATGCACAAAGTAAAAATGCCAATTTTACATAATATAATTTCATGTTGTGTGTTTTTTAAAAGGAGAAAAATAGGACTAAACTGTTGTTTTTAAGATATGCCATTTGTTTTACTCATTGTTTCAGGATTATTATTTTTTTACATAAAATACACAGAAAATAAATAGAATAGGCCTATAAAATAAAAATATTCTTAGTTTAATGTCATCCTCAGAAATAACTGCACATAGGTCGTTTTTTCAATCATTTATTTGTTCCCCTAATTCTTTTCATAAGGAAATAATAATTGTGAATACACTCTCTGCATAGACACGTGTATGTGATGTTGTCCCGTCTCTCCTGTCCAGGCTCCAGCAGCGGGTCCTGTCCGACGGCTCGGTCCGCTCCCTGGCGGATGATGACGGCACCGTGGACCGGCTGGGGAACTCTTCCAGTCCGGAGGCCAGTCTGTCCAGCAAAGCAGCCGCCTCGGCCATCTCCATCACCTCCAGCGACAGTGAATGTGACATCTGACGGGCAGATCCGCGGTGATGAAGAATTAAAGGGGGAGAGGAGTGAGAGACAATCTAATAAAACAAGTCATAGTGCCTGCGTTGAGTTAAAAAACAAACACACAAACTGATTTTTGACGGGTGCCAAACATGAGGGGATCTGCGGCGGACTGACCGTCCTTTTCTTTTTAGGCCTACATTTTTTTTTTGTGTGGATAACTGAACTTAATTACGGACGAAACATATTTGACGGACTAATAAACCAACGCCCTGAGATGAAAAGTTAAAAAAGAAGAAAAAAAAGTACAAAAGAAAAAGGGATGATCGCCTAGCCTGCTGTTCTCTGTGGGTATTTCATGTTGAAAAAGAACTGTGATATTTTTACTTTACTTTCAAAGTTTTATAAATAATGTTTATTTGCCTATTTAAAAACGATCTGCTCTGTCTCTTTGAATTTCATATTCATTTGCTTGGTGTTTTTAATACTTACCTTGTACACAGGTGAACCTGTTGAGCATGCGCGCTTTAGTGAAAATGTGTTTCAGTAAAAGAAAAAAAACCGTAAAGATAACTTAATAAAATAATTGTTGATCAAGCGAGAATACAGTTTATTCTTTTTTTATAGATGTGTTTGGGGAAAAACAGAGATGAGCCTTATTATAAAATATGAATCACTTTTATTTTTATATTCTTATATATAGCCTTTTTGATGTTGTCATGAAGGAAACTTTATAAAGCCAGTGCTATATCCCTGACACGTTTTTTAGCAAGGTCTAATTGGCCAACATGCTTTGCGTCGTGTAATGCAGGGTGACAGCGAGAGGTCACCGAGAGGCCGACTCACTAACCCGGATGATCTGCGAGAGAGATCATGGAGATCAAAACACAGCAGATTGTGGAAACGGTTTTTATCCTGCCCGTGGAGAAAAGCAGACAATATAGAAACAAGCTTCTTAAATATTTGCAAGTGTCCATTTACCCAAGACAGGATTTAATTTAGCCTAGTAAATATGCCGTGTAGCTATAGTGCAAATACAACCCTTTCAAAACGACCTAACATTTAAATAATAGCATTAACGCAAACATATGATATGATTGTTTATCTGTTGGACAGAATAGGTTATTTCTTAATCAAGTTGACATTGTAATTGACTGCAGGCTTTATTAATGTCTTTGATTATAAATCCAGCTTCAAATAAATGTTTATCCTTAAACACATCAACACAATATTCCTAAAATAGTTTTAATCGTGGTACAATACAAAAACTGTTTATTTTGTTGCCACTCAATTTTTTTAGAGTAGCAACAAAATACAGTTTTTGTTGTCAGCTACATCCCTCACTGATATCTGGAATAACAATCTTGTATTCCACGTTGAAAAAAATATCAGTAAAAAAATATATATATCTGCACAGCATTACAACTATTATTTTTACTAGACTCTAGACTTTAAATCAGAACAAGTTGCCTACAGCTTTTTAATGTGGTGAGCAGAGCAGAAGTTAAAGTCGAGCTTTTCCAACTGATGGGACAGACACCTGGTTTCGTCCAATTTGCGATTAATTAGGCTACAGTAACTTCTGCAACAGACAAAAGCCTTTCAGCTCGAACAACACAGAAGCTAAATCTATGGAAAGAGAGGAAACGAGTGAAGGGAAATAAATGGGGTTGGGGGGGATTTTTTCTTCCTTTTTTATGTTTTTTTTTTTTTGCTGCTCCTCTTTTCAAACCACAGGGACAAAATGGCTGAATATTTCCGTTTCTATTGAAAATCAGGAGGACCGGGGACTCGATGAAAAAGTATTTTTCGCAGTCAATAAGGTTGTCAAACTGGTCAGCGGTAATCAGTGCTAATGATGGGTCTGGGGTCCCTGCTCGGACAAAAGGGGCCCTGCCGCTGTTTTGTAAAGGGAAGCGACCGCGGGTCCCTCTCCAAAGAAAAGACTCCTGTGAGGGGAGTCTGGGGCACGGAAATCACAACTTCTCTAGTGTGTGTGTGTGTGTGTGTGTGTCTGTTGAGCTCATGGCTTGGCCTATTATAAAGGGATTTTAATTACCAGTTAAATGTTTTATGACCTGCCTAGGCACCCATGGACACAGCACATGCGTAATTTACTAGATTATTAAATATAGTGTGTTCAAATCTGATCAAGGCCTTGAAGAGACAACTTCTCACACTCAGTTGATCCGGTGGGCAGAGCTGCAGCAAGTATTTCAGCTTTAGAGCCTTTCGACAAGTTAAGGGTTGTCAGTGAGGTTAACCTGCCTATAAGGACAGGCTCTTTGAGCTGGGGCTGTGATATGTGTTGAAGGGCAGGCTGCAGCCTCGACTATACATAACGTCTTTGTTGTTATTTAATCTGTCAACCACGTTCAGTGTGCAGACACTCTGCAGCGCAGTCAGTCAGCAGAGTGACTGCAGTGACATGACAGCCGGGTATCACTGCAGAGAAATGTATTTATGTATCTGACTGGGTTCGATCCGTATTTTAACCAAGAGTAGTCGTTTTTTTCTGTCTATAAAGCTTCAAACTTAAGAGGCAACTGTATTTGTATTTTTACCATAACGTTATCAATGTAAAAGCCTATTTAAGGCTATTAATAAAGTTGCCCTACAAGTCGTAATAATACAACTAGTGATAAAATAAGGATATATTTGTATTATATTGAAAATGCTTTGGAGCAGCCCAATTGATATGAGAATACTAATTATAAATAGGATTTAAATAAAACATAAAAAATGCTTAAACATAAAATGCAAACAGAAGACCTTTAGGTGCCACATTAACAGACTGCATGATTATTTTCTTAGCAAATATGCATGGCTGTCGGATTCAAAACTGTATTTTTATTTCAAAGGCGAGAAGCCCTGCCGGGCAGACTTTAAGCAGAGAGGAATACAAATAAAAAATTCGGTAGCTATAGGCTGACATACAGTATAACCTTATTATCCACAATATCCTACAGGGAAAAATACACAAATCAGGTCACAGAGAGATGGTGTATGAAATTCTCTCTTCTTCTATAAACTGTGAGGATTTGAGGTGAAGACACTTTGCACACCGGTGCATCGTCGCTTATTTAGTCATATTAACAGGCACAGGAAACTGTTTACGTTCAGCTTTGGTATTGAAATCAAGCATTCTTGCAGCTTCCAACCTCATGTCTTCTCTCTAACTTTCCACAAAATTACCCACCACGTTTTGCTGATGTTCAAAGCCATATTGTTGCGTTTTAACGCAGTTTGTTGGCTACTTTCTAGACACCCTGCTTTATCCCTAACCTGTAGACTACAATACAAATATTTAAACGTGTCCTGCTTCACGATTGGTTGGCCGTGTGAACACCTGTCATCGTATTCTCTGACCAATACTGTACTTTCGAGGTGCAATGTGATATAGGCTACATGTAGATCGTTTTCCCGTTTAAAATGTGCATAGTGGTGTGGCAGCAGACATATGGACGTGCTATGCAAACATTTCAACCTTACCTCATCAAAAAACCTTTGCACTGATCACATTCAGGCAGACTCTTTAAAATCTTCAGAGAACAAAACCCCACTTGATTAATTTGGGAGTAGAGGGGAATTCACAGAGATTTGTTTGTTCGTATTATCTGCGATTATAGTATATTTACTATATTGAGTGTATATATATATAGTATAGTATATTCCACTGTATCTGGACGCAATTTCTTTTACTTTTCTGTCACATACAGCAGTCAGGTTTAGTTGCTTTGCAGAATCAGATTATTAATGGAAAGTACCCCCAGCACTTTGGGCAAACACCTGTACAGTCTGATGCAATCCAATAGCACCATTTAACCAGAAAGTCACTGAATTTAAGCCTATAATAAGTCATGTGTTCTACTGGATTGCCTTATATTGAGATGTGCTAATATTCTGACCTCCTCATTTATATGAATAGGGAGGACACACATTTAGAAACATCTCTTAAAATATAATTCAGTTCAACATTACCATTATAAATACACCACCATGAAGAATACGAAATGTATAAACACTTAATAGATCGGGGAGTTTATTATATATCTCGCTACTTGACAGTATAATAAGGTAAAAACTCTATAATGTATTTTTATGAAAGGGAGAGTTCTGCATATGTTCATTCTTGGTACTTTATTTGGATAAACATAATGTATTTGAATGCAGAACCTGTACCTGTAACAGAGTATTTTTACACTTTGATAGATACACTTTGAAGTAAACTATTATATAATTTAGCTTGCTTCGCTTTCACCTTATAATCTGACAGCCTTATAGTTCCCCGGGCTTTGATAGCCTACCTTTTATGTATTTTCACGAAGAAAATAAACTTTAAAAAATACTGTTGCATAATAAGGACCAGTATAATATTAATAATACAAATTATAACTGCAGCAATAACCTTCTCTATCCCATACCACTCCAACTATGTTCTATATATTTTAAAACCATTGCTTGCTGTTTCCAAGGTAAAACATGAACTCGGTTATTTTCTGATAAATCAACAAAAACCTAGCTATCAAAACTGTTTCTGCGGAGGACCAGATCAAATCAACAGCGAACATTTTTTCAGCTCATTGTGCGGAAGGCCATGAATTCATATAAATATATTCACATTTGAAAACTGCTATTCCACCATCAGTGTTTCCAAACCTTGGACATGGCCTACTGCTGTTTCGGTGCTTGTGAGTGTTATTGTAACCTATTATTCCTTTACCATAAGACCTGTTGTTTCTTCTCAAATGTTTAAGAACTCTCATGTATCGTGTTGCTGCTTCATCCTCTGAAGGCTCCACAGGGAACATGGAAACTGCAGACCAGTGACGCCCCCTGGTGGCCGGGAGTGGATGTTACATCGACCTGCACGATAGTTGGCACTTTTTAAGTTTACCTAACTACTGTATATAAATCCATAAAAAGCGTAGAGGAAGTTAGATATTATATGCAAGATATTAAACTACAAACCCGCAATTCATCCCTCCCTGTCGCCTGAAATTGCTGTGAAACAGGTTCATGCCGATTCTGACCATTAGTTTTTTCCAACATACAACTATACTGCCAAAATACAATTATTGAACCAATAGTGCACATTACGCCTGCCATCTAAAGAAGTTCAACCAAACACCAACAACTGTAAAAAAATAATAATAAAGATTATACACACTGTGTAAAACTATCCTCCATACAATTCTCTCACAGAAAAAAAATAAAACAAAAATATAAAGCCTTACTTATTTTACTTTAAATTCATGAATTTTCCACCTTTTTTAAATAGTCCCCATTTGATTCATGACTCTAA